CAGTGCTGTTACATGTTGTGGGGATTTCAATGGGAGTGTCCGCATCACTTTTCCTGTGTTATCATTGCACATGCAATCTTAGTAGATCAGCCGTTACAAGCCATCTAACTTCACACAATTTGCAGCACGAATGTCTTTTATGGAAAATGTTTTCCCCAAGAGACCTACATGACCCTTTTTGTGGAGTTTCTACTGCTCAGCGGCGAAGGTCAAATGTCTGCAGCTCTTCTTGTTCTGACTCCACCTTCAAAATGTGCATGTTTGCCTCTTTATCTTTCAATCCCGTTATTGTTTTTTTGAAATTGCTTTTTAAGCAGAAGGCACCTTAGAGTAAGGACAGTGTCTACGGTCCTGTAATAGCTAAAACCTATTCTAATCCCAAACAGCCTTAGGATTTGCACATATCACCCACTTTCTGCTGCCTTTGCTGCTTCTCTAGTGTTAATCCCATCCTCTTCGCTTTTTGTCCACCCACTCTGTCAAATGTGAGCAACATGGCAAGAAAGAAGGAGGAGAATGAAAGGGAGGAGAGAGAGGGAGTACAGGAATCTGTGCTTGTGTATGTATGTAACGAGGAGGCGGTTTCTTTGCATATATTATATGAGTTTATCCCTTTTATTTGAGATACATGAATAGTGAGATGACTAGAGGGGTTTGGGGGGAGCACCTTAGGGTGGGGGGTTGATTCCTGAGACCACTCTGTTTAAAATCTTTCGTTTTAGTCTCTAAGCATAAAACATTCCAGAGAAACAATGTTTTGACTCCTTGGTATCAAACATTCTTAGGATGTGAACATTCACTCCAAAGCTGCATAGATTAGGGGTCAATTTGGACCAATTCAAGTTTAGCTAAGCAGCCATGTATAGTTTTCACTACAGCCTCCAGGGGACCATTTGTTTACATGTTAACTTTAAACAGAGGAAGGAAAGAACTGAAAAGAAAAATTAAAGTCTAAGTTAAAGTTAAAGAATATCAGAGCAGTTGTTATTTCTTTGTTTTCTTAGTGAAATAATGGATTTCTCCTCATTGGGTCTCTTTAAAGGAGATGTTCGGTAATTTTCAGAATTCAAACTTCTGAAAGTACTTTAAATATGAAATTATTACATACTGTTCAATAAATGATAAGTGCTTTTAATTAAGAGTCATTTTCATATGAATGTGCTTTACTGGAGGCATCCATGTTTGTCAAAGAACATTACTGCCACCTACTGGTTAGTGACGTCACGGTGCGGTATCGGCTGTTGATCAAGTCCCAGTGGTGTATCTGGTGTTTGTCACAACACGCTATTATCCAAGTCATCTTGAAAACATTCTTCTTCCAAATGTTGGCTAATTTTTAATATTTTACTGATTAATGCTAAATTCATTAAATCACCACGATTGTATTAGTTTTAGGGATAAATAATGATCTATTGGTTATTCCTTGCTGACCGGACTTTTCCTTTAAAGTAGAAAATCATGTCAATTACAGTTTTT